AATTAGGTATCTAGGCTAGCCCAGGAGTTGCGCATCGTTCGTAATGTCGTCTGCCGGGCCGAGCTTTTGCTGGGAAGCGGACCCATTAGGGACCCTAGGTTTATGAACTTGACAAATATATACTGTAAGGTTCATCAGTAATTTAATTCATGAGAAGGGTGCCAATGGGCTAGCATATATTCCCTACATAGTAGTGGCAGAACATCCGATCCTCTAGTTACGCCCAAAATATGAAACAACATGGTTACTGAGAATAGAGCAAGGATTTTTCTAGTGCTATATCTCTATGCACACAAGAAAGCTCCAGTGCAAGAACTATGGTGACCACCTGAAATATGGATGACATCTTTTTATCATATACAACGATTAGTTTTGGGGTTTTTAAGCTTGGCTCTATTTATACCTTCTTGGCCGACCATTTGAAGTGTGTTAGATAGACCTTGAAGAAGCTAGTAGAAGTGTTGAAACCCTCGCCTATTTGCTCTAGCCGCCAAAGAGCTTAAGAGAGAAGATTATTAGGACAATTAGCAAAAGGACTAGATGGTGTGCTTATGCTAGTTTAGGCCTCCACTACTATAGAATCAGGCATCACTGCTGGATTTTGGTGAACCGACATTGATGTACCTTCACTGCCGGTTCTAAGCTTGAAAATCAGAAAATGATTGGGGGTGGGCCAAAACCAGCAGTGAAGGTCCACATCACTGTCGGTTCATGGCTGGCACCGACATTCCGATAGTGAGTGGACGACCACTTATCACTGCCGGTTCTAGCTAACGCTGCCGACTCAAGTCTTGAACCGACAATGTTGGTCAAGCTAACACTGCTGGCTTGAGCCACGCACCGGTAGTGTTGGTCATGACAACACTGCCGGCTTGGGCCTCAAATCGGCAGTGTTGGTCAAGACAACACGGCCGGCTTGTGCTACAAACCGGCGGTGTTGGCTCAACTGGATATTGCCGGGTGGAGCCTAGAACCGACAATAATCTCTCCTCACTGGCGGCTTTGAGTTACCGGCAGTGATGTCAACCCCCCATCACTGCCTGTATGCCACTATCGGTTCAAAATCCGGTAGTGAAGGGGGGTTTTGAACTGATAGTGATGCACTTGTCTGGGGTAGTGCTCGTTACTGCTTTGATTTAGATGTTAGCCTAGAGTTTAGTGAGGTTTGCACATTTCTTTGTTATTGTTGCTTGCGCACACCAAGGTTATACACTTGTGCACTTTAGGGCTTGTAAATCTTTGCGAGATCACTCCAACAACATTTGTAGAGTGGTCGCTGGTGGTGTACAAGGGAGGAGTGGCCCTTGGTCTTTTGGCCAAAGCTCTACTAAGTGAAAACATCAGGGAGCGGTTTGGGGTAGGTTTGGCACCAGAGACCCACTTATGCATGAGGAAGACCCGTGAGCTATCTAAGGAGTTACCAAATGAGGAGCTTGGCCGTGGTGAGGTGTTCCAACAAGGATTAATAGAAAGTGCAAGCTTTCTGACACTTCAATAAAAAATCATCAAGCGGGAGTTTGCATTCTCTAACCCTTTTTAACATTTATGTTCTTGCATTCTTTTGTGTTGTCCCCTTTACTTCCTAGTCTAGTTTGCTAGGTAAGTTGATAGGAGTAGAACCTAGGGTGCAAGTCTTTTTGCATTGGAGATAACAACACTTAGAGAAACCCTGTGCACATATAGGTAGAACTCGTGGAGGTTTTATCACTGATTTTTTGCCTTAGTTTTTAAGTGACCTCATTCACTTCTTTTAGGCTGCACAAACCCACAATTCCCTCATTTTGTGCAATTATACTGAGAAATATAAAGTATTTAGGTATAGATTGCCAATGAACTTGTACTTTGGAACCCATTGTTTTTTAATATATTTGGAACCCATATTTTATTGTTTGACCCTGAATTTATCTCCGCCCCCGTGCTATGTAATTATCCACATACCATGCATTTTTTAGACGAAAGAAGAATTATATGGAGTATATCATCATGTTACAAGCATTCTGGAACACAATAGGTATACCTAGAAACTGTTATTCATCTACATTGTACCCACACTTTGTATAGCTCCAAATCTCAATCCCAACCCTGTGTGACGATAGATTTGTATGGATGACCACACAGGCAAACCCTCGATAAAAGGCCTAAGAACAGACGCCCAGCAAATGGCAGCCAACATTCCTGCAGGCGAAGTTAAGAATCTTCTTCTTTCTTGTGTCTTCCTTGTTCTTCCTTCTGCCACTGAAGATTAAGGAATACTCATCTAAATCTTCCCAACTCAATACCAGTACTTGGCCTAAGGGGCTGACTTATTTTCACTAGTCCTTCATAGTAGTCAGATCTAACCACAATAAAATGGAAAAGAGACCGGAGTAAATGATTTCATGGCAGCAATATCATCTCCGCCTTGATGTCGCCGTTCAGAAACCTAAGTCTTCATGTTGTCATGCCGAGAAAGTTGCTGACGCCGTAGTTGTCGCCCCCATTTTCATCAAAGTCGTCATGGAGAAACCAAATCCACCTTCCCCCTCGCTATGACCAGGAAGAGGAGGAGACAAATCCATAATACCAAGAAACTTGGCATGGAGCGATCCTACCCTAAAGAACTCAATCTACTGAAAAACTTATTAAAGAAATGGATCCCCACTCCTTTGAGCCTCCGGCGAGTTACCGGAGGGAAAATGGAAGGGGACCACCGAGCAGCAATCCACCTCCCTCGGCTCTCTCGTTTGATGCCCTAAGGCGCAGCCGAGGCCGCCGCCACCACCCGTCCCCCACATACCATGTATTTATCATAGTCGTCGCAATTGGACCACACGACTAATACTGCTGTGTTGATTTTATTTCTTAGCAATTAATGTAGTATCTTTGTATATGTGGTAAAGCATAATTCCACTAAACCCATGTCAACTTGGTCGTACGCACACAATAGCTACTGGCATATATATACTTGATCAGGTGTCCATGGTTAAACTTAGTTTACAGTCAACATTGACAAAATCTTCTGTAGAGTGCGTACTACATGAACCATCACTGGCTGACAAAATCTTCTGTAGAGTGCGTACTACATGAGCCATGAGTGGCGGACTTACCCATCATTGTGGACTTCCCCTACACGCCGGCATAATTTCCATCCTTCTTCCTTGAATCCAGGACTTTTCACCACACACTCAAGCACTAGACATCCGTATGCATGGATGTCCCTCTCAGTGCCTTATGAAACATGAAAAAGCATTACTGCATCTCAAGCGTGTGAGCTGCCTGCCCATACAAAGTTGCACGTACAGTAGTTCAATAACAAGTTGAATTTGCTGTGACCGTGAGTACTCAAGGAAAGGATGATGTCACGGAGACTAGTCCACCTAGATCAATTACAAACACATGCTGGTCAACGTACAACCATTGCACCAAGATATTTATCGGTTTATTTGTCCACACATATGCAGATGCCAAATCGAGATCATATACATTTGTTTAGAAAATGGAAGAGAATTCCTGTTTCTGAGTTTTCCCACACAGCGTTTATATATTATTACATAGTTTCAGCGGCATTTTTGATGAGCCAAGAAACAAGAAATACAAAGATTATTAAAGTTCTATCCATGGGAAGCCAACAACTATAACGCAGTTGTCTCTAGTTTTCTACTCGCTAACTAGAAAAATTTCGTTGTTTTATCATCATGCTGTAGCAGTGTCTAAAAATGCAGTTAGTACAATAGCCAGGCAGAGAGGCCAGTGTAGCCTATGTTTTGAAACAGAGAGGATAATTATAACTGAACAGACGTGCTTGACTGGCATAGAAGATTAGCGATATACATTGCCGTCGGCCGCAGGTGACGGAGTCATCAAGAAATTGCCAAGAGATGTGGAGGCAGGAGCCCGGATGGTGTGTGTGTCTCAACAGAAAGATCATTGCTTGTCTGTGTCCCCGGCATGCACACCCAGCACATGCATGCAACGCATGCCTCACAGAGTTAAACTACCACAGCCCAACCTCCTTTGGTATATCACGACTACTTCGTGTCTTTGCTTTGCTTTGCTCACATAATCTGTGCTTCTTCTCTTATTATCCTTAAAACGTGTCTATACTAGTTATTAGTTGCTCTAAATCAAAGTTTACATGCTAAACAGACTAACTGGATCGTTCCTTAATATCCGAAATGGAAATATATTTTCATTCTTCAATTAATGATTTAATTCAATTGTTTTCTCTCATCATATAACATGTAAGGACTGTAAACTTCTGTTGTATTTGTCATCTCATCGATGTAGACATTTTTTCAGCTAGAAAACAGGAATTTGATTACAAAATTCAAAATTTCAGTTCTCCAACACACAGTTTTCTCTTCATCAGGGAGCTACCTTGCCCACATATACAATACAATTTCTGAAAACAAATCAATATATTATTTAATTGATGGAACAGATCCATCATGTGGCATGTGCATATATACATGAATCCACATCCAAATAAACTGGGATGTGTATGCGTGGTGTCATGTCATCATCATCTAATGATGATACTTCCCCTGACTGACAATTAATTAATACAAGGAAAATTCATCAGCAACAACTACTAAGTAAAGCTAGCTACACCACCACCAACAGCAGCCGCTATACTAAGTATAGCAGAAGCAACACCAAACAAGACACTTCTTTGTCATTCCTACCAGACTAGAATCATGCATACGTGGTGCTCCATCCACCTCACGCGACGCCGCTATTAATTCATTAGCTTGTGAAAAAACAAAGCTTACGAATTAGCAAGGCGGGAGGGGACAGGAATATATGCCATCTAGCTAGTCAACCAATTGCTATTTAGTAGATGACGATCGATGAATGATGGATGCAGAGATACATAGAGGTGCTAGCTAAAGATGATATATGTGTGTGCATGTATATATATACATATACATATATATATATATATATATATATATAGTGATCAAATGATGTGCTATTGCCTAAACCATGGGTGAATAATATGATGGATGGACCAACGTTGTTCAGCAGGCAGCAGATTTGGTGAAAGGGCTGAACAAGTGCGGTGCTCGGCCAGGGCCACCCGCCTTAGGCCCATCTGCACCGGTGGTGGTGGCGGCGGTGGCGGCAGACACTCCGGTGGTGAGGCGCTCGCAGGAGGGACAGATGGAGAGCGCAGCGGCGGCGGGCATGAAAAAGGCAGCCGGGTGGGGGTGGCTGAGGGCGCGGAGCTGCTGGAGCTCGCGGTGGAGGCGGCGGTTCTCCTCTGTTAACGTCTCGCAGCAGCGCTTGAGAAGCTCACAGTCCACTTCTGTCTGCTTCAACTTTGTTCTGCACGCAACAAATACATGCATGGAGGACATCAGCAGGATAGTTATTATATATGCAAATATGCAATAGATCATATAGTACAAGATAAGACTAAAAAACATTTATATATATGGAATAACTAATTTATGAATGCTTCTTCTTTAAATAAATATTAGAATTGGTGACGAATATATGTGATGGAACTGGAAGGAACGAAAAAACAGAAAGGAGATATGCATATGGGTTTTGAGGTGATGAATACAACTGACTAACCTGGCTCTTCTGTTTTGGAACCACACCTCCACTTGCCTTGGCCTCAGGTTCAGTTGCCTGGCCAAAGCAGCCTTTTGCTTCTGCCCAGATGCACCATGCACAACACAAGCAAAGGGGGGGAAAATTTAGGAATCCACAGACCAAAAATACTGAATTTTTTTAATTTTAACATGCATGATTTCAGAAGTGCTAATTAAACTTATATATGTATGTTCTACTTCTACCTAGCAGGACTTACAGGGTTGAGGGTGCTATGCTCCTTGAAGTGGTCCTCCAGCAGCACCGACTGCTCCTTGGACAGCCTCAGCTTCTTCCGGCTGTTGCACCCTTCGTCGTCGTCGGCAGTGACCACCGCCGATGACGCAACTGAGTAAATAAGCGCCCTGTCGGTGGCCTCGTCGTCCTCCTCCATCTGCAGCTCCCTCTTCACGGCAGCAATCCTCCTCATCGGTGTGGTCGTCAGGCCATCTTTGGCCGGGAGGCTGCTGAGCGACAGAGTCGGCTCCAACAGCGCACGTGGATGCGACGGAGGTGATGGCTTTTCCTTGAGCTGCTTCTGGTGGCCGGAGCCGAGGGAGAGGCCCAGTGCTAGCCCGACCTCTTCTTGTTGCTCCATACACAGTATCTTCTGTTGTTGTCTATATCAAGGAGATGATGCAGGAAGTGGTTCAATTTCTTGCTAAAGTTTACCTATGGTCTCCCTGCCTGCTTCTGCTCCTTTGTGTATGTGTGGAGAGAGATGGAGAGGGAGAGAGAGAATGGTTGAGCTACGAAGGAGAGAATATGTGTGAAGAGGGAGAAGGAACAGGAGGGGGGTGGGGACTGGGGAGAGACGAGGAGGATGGACACCCATACATATAGGGGTGGCAGCACTCAGCAGGCTGGCCACATGAGCCAAAACAGGCAAACCAAAACACAATAATGCACTTCACACTTGCTAAGGTTGACAAAAATGAAAAAGGTAGGAATTGCAATCTCCATATTATTCTAAGTGTTCGTGCACTCCCTTTTCCATTATATTCTCCTATAATACATGCATGCACCTACTGACTCTTCTTCATTTTTCCACCTCTCTCCCTGGCTTTATTACCAGCTGGTAGTCATCACTTATTAGCATGGTAAATTAGGGTGTGCACGTCATTTTTTTCCTTTTAGGGCGGGATTTGTAGAAACAAAGTAATCCCCTCTGGTTCATCCCAAATATTCATTGTCAAATATTGGTTTTTTTTACGAGTGAGAGTGGTGAAGATTGTGCCAAGTGCACTCACCCACAACTGCAGCCAGTCACCTATATATGCACCCATTTACTGGATCGGACACGCACTGATGTGCGTGGTGACTCCAAAGTAACTTTTCTTTTCGGTAGTACTACTACTAGTAGCATATGTCTGCCAAGATTGCTCTCCATCATCATCCTTTTGTTCTTGGTAAGGCTTGCCCTCTTTACACACCATATAATTGCTTTCCACATGGAACTCTGAAAAATTGGGCCAGTTGAAAGGTCTGTCTGATGTGGGTCATTGGTGGTTAGCTCATATTGTAACAACCTTTTTAATGATGGGGGTTCACAAGTCACAATTGCAACCTCATCAATCAACATTCCCCAATTAGGGTATTTAGGTATGGTTGAGTGAGGTGGACTCTTCTCCCAGTTCCATTCATCATCACAAGCTATTCTCACTTACAGGTATATATATAGCGGCAGTAAATTTTAAGCGTTGAAAGCAAACCAGTGGTTAAATTTTTTTCTATTTCTACATATGGTATTTACTCATAAAAATGAATTGTTCTCAAACATATACCACAGTATCTAATGATAACCTGCTGTATGCAAGATGGTGAGAGCAATAGTTTTCCTACAGGAATCAAGAAAGGTCATGTTTTGATACTACTGTAGTTAATATATGGCCCCGATCAGCTGAAATATATTTTCGATGAATAAATTATAAATTCCGAGTTAGTTATTTTCATTTTCTCTACAGGAATACTAAGGCATTGCTGATGAATGGGTGCCGTCCGTTGTCTGGACATATCTTGGACACTACAAGTGGATGGGGAGATGGAGGTCATGATGTTGTGTAATCACTGATGACCTCATTGTCTTGGGTATATGGGCAGGAGTGATGATGTTGTGTAATCATGTAATGAGGATTTGATGTCTCACAATGAACAGCCACAATACTGAAAAAGGCAGATGCGCTGTTGAGGATTTTGGAAGAACATATCATTTGAGCATTTGGTTGTGTCCCCTCACTTTTGGCAATGATGTATCATGTATGTTTGGTGTATCCAGAGATGTATGAAGGGATCCTAATTAGCTAGTATCAGGTGGTGATCATGATAATTGTCATGCAACAACCACCAACATTGTGATTGAGTGTGCCCCAGTTGTTCCTTTAAGCAAGCAATAGGATTATATTGGACACTGCTTTATTTTCCTCCTAAAAGTTAAATATTGATGTAATCAATTGTTGAAACTTGCGCAATGATTAACCATTTTCTCATAATTATAATCACAATGTTGACTCTTTACGTTCAAATAATTTGTCCATTTGTTGGCCATGTATGCAATCATTCAAAACAAATCATGTGGTTGAAGTATTCTAGATTCGCGACAATCATTGATTGCCATATAAACACGACAAGTCTATGTGTGACGCGCGTCTAATGTGCTAATGTATGCTGTAAAATGGTATCATAGAAATGGTTTACTTTTTTGTAAGTACTTGAGCAGTTGTTTTTCAGTCCGCCGAGTTCCAGACCACGATCTTTATATATAATATAGTATATTTCCACGTCCATGCACCATCAGCTTCTTTTTAATATATAGTCAAAGTCCGCACGTATGTAAGCAATTGTATTATAACAAACTAATCAGATGCTTTGGCTCTTGTTTATCCTTAATATAATAAGTTAATTGTCCCCTTTGTGTCATCTTACTAATCATCACTGGATTCATAAGAAAGGCCGAAACAGATTCACAACAATAATATAAGTCTTTGTGTCTCCCCATACTACACATATTATTTTTATAATTGTCTTCTATTTTATTTTCAAAAGCAGATCATACAGCAAACAACCTCTACCTAGATCAGGCAGCATCGTAGTCGTGGCTTAACAATACGAGCCACCCCTACACTCCATTTTTTTAATGCGGTTCTCTTGAGCAAACTTCCCCCAGAATGTATCTGTTTTAAGGGATGGTTAGGTTAAGATACACTACCCCAGATGTTCAAAACACTTGAGGTCATTTGTAGTTCATGATTTTTTTCATTTGAAATCATTTGAGATCCCAAAAGTATAACTAAAGTTCTCACACTTTTAAATTCTAACTGTTCAAACGACCTCGCATGTAGATAGCGTTGGTAGGCATGCGATGCAAGATGGGGGTTTGTATTGTAGTGCGAGGTTGTTTGAAAATTTTGAATTTTAAAATTTTAGAACTTCATATATAAATTTGAGACCCTAAATAAATTCAAATAAAAAAGTCATCAACTACAAAGTTTTAGATCACATTGAAATCTACAACTTTGCTTCTGATCATTTTTCATGTGAGGTTGTTTGTATAATTCAAAAAAATGAATTTTAAAATATGAGAGCTTCAAACAGAATTCTGAGACGGTAAATGATTTCAAATAAAAAAGTCAAGATCTACAACTTTGATATAAAGTTTATTTTCATCTAACTTTGTTTGAAAAAAGTTATGAGTTTTATTATGCTACAGCATAGGTCCAACCATTGGTGAAAGTGTTTTTTACCGCCAGTTCGTAACACAAAACGGCGGTGAAAAATGGGTCGCCATCATCGCCAGTTGTAGCACAAACCGGCTGTTCGTGCTACCAGCTAGCGGTGATAATTGCCCCCATTTTTACCAACAGCTCGTAACACGAACTGACGTTGAAAATCATTTCACTAACGGTTCATAATATGAACTGGCGGTGAAAGTGGCAGTAGTGATTATCAATTCTGTAGTAGTGTAAGTACCTACGTATCTCACATCAAACACATATTAGTCCACCTAGGTTGTCACTCAATTACCAAAATCAAACTAGGGCCTTTGATTGTTGTATGCAAAGCATGTTTAGGATAGTCAATCCATGCTACGGTATCAGTTTTGGGTACCACTAGTTTGGTCTTATTCCTTCTGGGAGAGTAAGAGTAGTGTTTATTAGTGTGAACATGGTTCTTAGACTAGTAAATGTCATTGAATGCGGGTGTACCTATGGGTTGTAGAGGCGGTGACAATCATGTCCATCCTTTGTAGTCCTCCATGTTTGGATATCACATAGGGCCTGTTCAAGACGTCACCCCATTCTAGCTACCACTAGAACACCGGTGAAAGCCCAGTAGTGCCTAGGGACATGGAACTAAATCCTACCCATATATCTTGTATATGTGCATGTATGAAGACTATAGAACATAAGCAGAGATGTATCATAGGAGCCTTACCTTTTTTGCCGATCTCCACCAAGCTCAGTCCTATTCTTTATAGAAGTAGAAGCTTTGTGTGTGTGTCACACTACCTTCAATCTATCATTCACCCCTATTTAGACTTTAATGTTTAGTTATGATATGATCATGAGTATGTAAAATTATCAATTTTCATTGCCACGGCCTTCCCTAAGGATAAATAAATAATAATACTTAGGAATATTCCTGGGTGAAATGCTACAATGGTATATATGCTATTACGGGTCAATATGTGAACGCAACTTATACCAACAAGTAATCATGGCCATGATAGCAGAAAAATATTTGGGCCAACCCATATATACAACCCATTGAGTCAAGGAAGACATAGCTTTTAGTTGAAATGGATTGACCCATGGCCCCTAAAAATGGCCTTGATGCCATGGGGTTGGGTTCAAGATCATGGTCGGATCAGCCCATTATGATCCCAAATGAACATTTCTAGACATATTAGCTTTATGTTCCTCTAAGTGAGGTGAGGTTATACTAGGTGAAGAAAAATTATCCTATATCAACCTACCAACTCTAGCATGCTAGACAAAATAATTCCTTAGGAAAAAATAGGTAATTAATCCAAAATAGAGCTCATTAGTTAGAAGTGTCTTCCTTTCAAGATGTCATCATGGCCCTATGTGGCAGAACCGCCTAGTCTAATGCCTCCCAAACGTATTTGTCTTTCATTAGACACTAAGTACCCAAGAGAGGACACTAATGCCTCCGAGGCATACTTGTCTTCCATTAGACACTAAGTACCCAAGAGAGGACACTAAACTACGCAGTTCCGTCGAGCACACCCCAAGAGAGAACTCGAAAATTCACATTTTCCATTAGGATCATAAATGAGAGAATAAAGCTTACAACATTCTTAAGTCATTTCTTACATCACTTTATTACAGTACCAGAATATTACCTCAATTTATTATAACAACGGAATATAACAATGTTATCAGAGTTACAAAGGAAGCAGGATTAATTTAATGACATGGTGAAGCATTAACATAGTGGACATTTTTATACAAGAGCTACTAGCAGATTTTACATCTTTTCTTATAAAAACCTTTCATGAGAGTTATAAATAAACACTACAGTCGTAGCGTGAAAGGAATCCTCTCTAAGCCCATCGAGGTTTCCACACACAAGAGTCAG